CTGGTTCAACTTGTTACAGGGGCCTGCAGCCAGACCTGGGGCGACTCCAGTTAGTTCTTCATGGGATGGCACCTGGGCCTGACAGATCCAGCTCCCACCGGATCTCCTCTTTGAAATTCTCCAAATCTTGGCCTAGGTGCACGTGCAGCTCTGTGGTGAAATGCACTAGATTTTCTTGAAGACTTCTTCATCATCGGAGTTGGAAGCAGTGAGAGGCAGATGCAGGTTCCAGTTCCACCTTATCAGTTTTAGCTCATCCTGTGGGTTCCAGTTTGTCTCCACTCTCTCCCAGTTCACGTGCATCTTCCCTTCCCAACTGCTGCCCTGCTGACTCCAGGCCTCAAGGCCTGCCAATGCAGGGCTGCAGTCTTACACAGGCTGCACCCAGCTCCTACAGCTGTGTAAGGTCTAATCTCTGTCCACATCCCTTACATCATTCATAAGTGGTTCTGCTTCTCTGATCAAACCCCAGTTGACACAAATTCATAACTATTTCTTTTGGATTAAATTCCTAGAAGTGCAAAAACTGGGTAGAGATCATTCTTCTCATGGTCTGTTAAGTGTTTTTTATTTATGTGTTTTATGCAGTGAAATCTGTTTTGGAAAAATTCTAGGTAGTTTCTATGCTACTAGGAGATTCAAAATAAGGTACTTTGGTTCACACTTGCACGAGAACTTTAATGGCAGAGCTTTGGACCAGTGGGCCACAGTGTCCATGGCATTAGCAAGAATACAGAGGAGGTAAAATTCAAAAGGAGATGGTCAGACCCACTTGCTGAATCTCCCCTTGATGACATCCCAAGGTAACAAAATCTTTAAGATTCTGTTTTCTGTTCAAGACATGAATATTTCCTTTATGGTCTATAGTCTTAGGCTGGAGTCTTGCTTCTGAATCCTTAACTGTTGGTAGACTTTGTTCCAACTGGCCCCATATACCTATTTGGACAACCATTTATCTTCCCTGCATTCTCAATGTCCTTGTTTAGTCCATCTGCTGGGATATACCATCTGGGTAAATGGTATCATCTAGGTTTGTGCAGTGCATGGTCTGAACAACTATATTCACCAGTTTTAAATTATCCCAGGTTGCATCTTCCTGTTGCTGACTTGATCTTTCTGTTGTTTGTGGCCGTAGCTTTTGGGTATGAAGTTCTGGCTGCTGGCTGGACATCCACACACGTCCATTATCAGGTCAGTTCCCTCAGTGTCTTCCCCAACCAGGAAGGCAGATTAACTCTAGGGACCAGCAACTATAAAAATCAGTACATCCCAGACCATTGTGGACCAGGCCACTGCAGATCCAGCTGTGTCCCAAACTACGCCAAACTTGGCTTCCAGAAACTCCTCCAAACCCATCTTTTAGATAATAAATTTGAATTTGAGGTGTGTCAAGATGATTAAATCCAAAGTGTTAAAACAAGGTCCTAGTAACCTCCTGGCTCCCTCCTATAACATCATAAAGGCTTTCTTTGTTTTTGTACAGAGTCGTAAACGCCACTGGTTTGAGGACTATGATTTGGCTGGTAATTTCCACTATAACAGCAGATAGAACCTGCCAACTATAAAATGAGCTAGGGTATTTTCCATGTTTCCCATCTGTGTTCTGACTCAAGTCTTGCCCATACTTGTCTGTGTGGCAATAGTCTTTATTTGGGGGCACTGATGACTTTTATTTTTTAATTTGCATGATTCTCCCACGTTAAACTCATGGGAAGGTGTTCTGTGGAAATGTATAATGATCTGAAGTCCAGCCTTAGTGTTCTGGTTTGACATACACATTGAAACCGAGAAGAATACATTCCTATGCTCTGCCCTTAAATAGTTTTCCAAGATTAAATTTAGAATACTTTACATTGATTCTAGAGTGGTGTGGCTTCGGGAGCAAGGGTATTTGCCATCATCCTTAAATTTTTAGTGGGAGCCTTTGATTTGATACTTCTCCATAAGCACTAGAATGACTACTTCAGTTGTTCAGAATGTCCTCTTTATTACTAAAATCCAGCTGTAAAGAATGAGAGGCTATTTTCTTTGGATGGTCTCCTTTCATACATCAAAAGTGAAACTTAGAATGGAATGATAATTCTGTTAATATCCTGGAAACAGACTTAATCAAAAAATTTTGTATATTTGAGCTACTTTTATCTGTTGGGCAAACCGCAATCTCTCTGTGCCTCACTTTTTACTTAGGGTGAATTAGGGGAATAATCGAGGTATTCACAATTCCTCTAATCCTAAAATAACTTAATCTTTTAAAATCAGTATTTACTTGTGGCTCAAATGTTTAAAATGGTTATTAGTATTTTCCAAGGGCAAGTGTGAAAGAGCACATATGTTGCAAGATTAATAACTTGAGATTAACCGTCAAACTTTCTAACCACAGGGTTAAAGCTATATGCTTAGTTTGGATATATTCTGAAGTAGAATTGTCGAATTCTTTTGCAGTTTAATCAAATATAATTTAATCAGTGGCTCAAACATAGGAAGTATAAGAATATATTCTGTTGGTCAAATACACAAAATTATCGGGCCCCCAAAGACTTAAAACTCTTTAAAGTGATGTGAGTGTGAACTAGCTTTACTTTGAAAACAGTCTACCTTAGATACTCTAGGGTCCTAAATTGAAAAACCTGGATGACATAAAAATCTTTTGCCCTGGTTTGCTTTCAAAGGAATTTACTACCATAATTCTAAAACAAGAACAGAGTTCAGTTCAATTAACAATGTACTAAGTTAATGATTAGTGTTTATATTCTTAAGGTTTATATATTTAAGTTTATGAATGCTGAAGAAACTGGGCTAATTGTCTATCATCAAAGTATCACTGGAAAGTGCTATTAGCTTTAAGGGCAGAGGAAATAAGATAATGGACCTGTTACCCATTTTAGCTGCATACCTTCAATTCCATGACATCTAATCTATTATAGGACTTCAGACTTGCATGCTTATTTAAATTAATTTAAATAAATGATTCACAAGGTAATTGACTAGATTAAAAGTTCGACAGTAATAAATCTTTGTAAAGTTTGGTTCTTTATAAAGAAAAAGAAAGCCTTTCATATGTAAAGAATAACACTTGGGACACTTGAGAGTTGCTTTATGGTAAGCATTTGACCAGTTTTGCTTAATATTCTCTGTGTACTTTTAAAACTCTACTTTTTATCCAAACTCCATAAAATCTCCTTTTTTAATGGCTCACTAAAATATTTAAATTGCAATCACTGCATCTATTCTTTGTCAAAAAACCACTGTGGTATATTTCTTTAAAACTGCATAAAGCAAATATTCTATCTTTATTTCAGATTTATAAACAATATTCTTTTGAACAGAAATGTGGCAGTAAGGCAACAAGACCTTGCAAACTTCAGGATTTTTAAAAAATTACATGGAAAATACAATAGAAAAAAAAGGCAAAGACTAGCAATATAACAGTTCACAGAAAAGGGAATATAAATTTATCTTAGATGTATAAAAAGGCATTCAATCTCACCCATAGTGAAAAATACAAAATGAAATTAACAAAATATCAATTTCAACTATTAGATGGATAAACATAAAAGTTCTATAATGCACTTAGTGACAATGCAGAAATTTAGGCAGTCTACATTTCTGGAGTTTCAACTGATACAAACTCTAGGCTGGGAGTGGGGAGTGGGGCATGTGATCCAGTAATTCTATTTCTAGGAGTTTATAATACAGACAAACTCACATAGATGTGAAATGGCCCTGCAACATTGTAATAATAAATAATTGGATATAATCTAAAGGTCCACCATTGGGACTGGTTAAATTTTATATAATAGATGATCATTTTTCATTATAAAAGAATGAAAGTCTCTGTATGTACTGATCTGAAGCAATATGCAAAATATATTGTTAAAGACTTCCAAATTATATTATGGCTGATTAGGTGCACAGAGGGACCCTTCTGCTAAGGAACTAGACCTTGGATAGAACACATCTGTTTGAGGCATTGTTGGTCTCTCAAGAGATAGGGGAGATCTCTGAAGACCCTTTCCCTTCAAAAACTGAAATAAAACCAGAGTTATTCTGAGGGAAATAATAGTGACACTGCTATCAGGGTACTTAGGTTTTGGCCAACATAGGCTTGGGAAGGATGAACTGAGCCAAGACCTGGAAGTTGTCCCAGAATGATGGCATCTTTGGTTATAGACAGAAGGAGAAATAAATCCTCTCTGGAGGAGAGCTTTCCCAGTTTGGGACTATGGGACTCTCACAGATTAAGATCAAGAAATGGCTCATAATCAAGATCATCAAGCTTATGAAAAGGCAAGGCAAGCTACCATCAGTGAGAATCTGCACAAACAATAAACAAAATATAGAAAAACAATGATTAAGGTGTTTAAGAACACAAAATCCAGCCCTGGGTAGGTTAAAGCCTAGATAAGAAAGGCAAAACTATACTGCTCTTAGAAAAGAATGGAGGAGAGTATCTTCATGGCCCCAGGACAGTAATGAATTTACAAAAGTAGATGCAAACAATAACAACTATAAAATAAAAGATTGATAAGTTTAACCACATTAAAATTAAGAACTTCTGTTCCTCAAAAGACGCCATTATTATTAGGTATTATTAGAGTTAAAAAAGAAAGAAAAAAGACAGGAGAAGGTATTTGCAATACATATTAGGAAAGCCTAATAAGCATTACTATTACAAACTGATGGCAAAACAGCCAAAAAGGAAAATGGGTAAGAGACTTTAATAGGTACTACACAAAAGGTGATATCCAAATGACCAGTAAACAGACATTCCCTTTAGTAGTTAGGGACGTACACATTAAAACCAAAACAGGGATGCACACCTATCAGACTGGAAAATAAATTACAAGTCTGACAATATTAAGTGTTGGAGAGAAAATGGAGCAAGAGGAACATCCAAACAAAGCTGGTGAGATGGCAAATTGGTATCATATTTCTGAAAAATCAGGTGGCATCCAGGAAAGTTGAACATATATGTAACCTTTGACCTAACACTTTAAATCCAAGATCTATACCTTAAAGAACTACTTGAAGATGTGCATCTGGATGTATGTATAAGAACATTCAACCGTGGTATTGTTAGTAATTGGCCCAAACTGGAGACAACCCAAATGCCCACCAGCAGTAGAATGGATAAATATATTTTGATACAACTGAGTATTATACAGTAATAAAAATCAACTGAAATGCAACAAAAGGAACAAGCTGCAGATACATACAACAACACAAATGAATCTTACATATGTAATGTTGAATAAAAAACAGGACACAAAACAATATATACAATGTGATTATATCTTTAAAGTTCAAAAAGAGGCAAAGTAAGCCCTTTTATTTAGAGATGCATATGGAGGTAGTACATTTATAGAGGAAAAACAGGGAAGTTACTATACGTTAGGGCAATAGTTACATCTTAGGGGAGAGATAGACTTGTGATCAGAAAGGCATACACATGTGGCTTTTCCAGTGCTAATAATATTCTATTTCTTGACCTAGAGGATGGGTTATGTGGTTGTTTTGTGGTTATTTTTTGAATTATGTTTTTTTACACAATGCATGTTATATTTCACAGTTTAATTTTTTAAAAAAGGAAATCACCACTAAGATAAACAAGCCACAAGAGAGTGCCAGGAATGAACAGGAAAATTTGGGGGAAAAGTAGAACTTTTCAAGTGTACATGGAGAATTAAGCAAAATTAACCAAATACTGGACCACAAAGCAAGTCTCAACAAATTTCAAAGAACTGACATGATATGGAGCATATTCTCTGACCATAGGAGAATCAAGCCATAAATAAATAAAATTAGAAGTAGAAAATTCACACGTTTGTAAATTAAGAAGTATATTTCTAAATAGTCCATTTTTCAAACAAGAAATCATTAAGGATATTAGAAAATTTTTGTAACAGATCAATATTAAAAATACAACCTGTCACCACTTGTGAGATGCAATAAAAGCCATGCTGAGAGGGAAATTTATAGCATAAAATACACGTATTAGGAAAGAAGGAAGACTGAAAAACTAATGATCTAAAAATCTATCTCATGAAATTAGAAAAACCGCAGAGGCAAGCGTGGAGCATGGGGGGTCAGGGGATAAGCACATCATTCCCAGAGGCCAGTGGCAGCCAGGAGAGGTCAAGATGCCCCCAGGAGGTCCTCAGCATAGGGTGACACTGAGGAGACTTCAACTTGTTCAAGGCCTGACGGGCAAAAGAAAGGAAGATTTCTTCTCTCCAGAAAAAGCCAAAGACCAAAACAAGGGTTGTAGGATCTTGACAAAGATGGTGATGTAATGCAGTTTCTTTCACTAATGGTACTTCTAACTTTGCACAGAAGGTGGAATAATTGAGAATTTTCAGCTAAGAAACTGCATGGGTCCTTCAATGCTTGGATCCCTTAAATTTGGCTCCAATGCCAACTTGCTTGTTGGCAACAGTGAAACTCAGCAGACACCTCAGTAACATTAAAGAACAGCAGAGGTGATGCCTATAGAATAAATGTGTCCAGTGACTCTACAACTGTGCAACATCCCACCAGCATGGATGAAGTTGATGTTATACACTAAAACATGAAACGGGAGCCGTGGTTTCTAGTAAGAGAGAAGAGCTGATAGCAGTTCTCCATCATTTTAACAGATGGATACACAGTCCCTGTTTTAACACAAGAGATGAACAACCAGCTCTTGCTGCTTAAAACTGAGGGAGACAAATACAAATTCTTCATGAAAGCAACCCAACTGGAACAGTTGAAGGTAGATTATTTATACATTATGGAAACAAAAGAAAGAACAAAGGAGTAGATAAGTCAAGAAGAAGAACAACTTACTGAACTAAAGCACCACTGTTTAGAGAAAGAAGAACGTTTTCAAAGTATTGCTGGTTTAAATACAATGAAAGTTAATTTAGAATACTTGAAACGTGAAATGGCTTGGGCAGTGGTCAATGAAATTGAAAAACAATTGAATACTATCAGAGATAATATAAAAATTGGAGAAGATTGTGCTGCTAGACTTAAATGGAAGAACAGCAGGTCAAGCGTAATGAAGCAGAAAAAAATACAAGGATATTCAAGATAAAATAGGAAAGATTAGTCAAGAGACAAATGCATGAACACCAGAATGTATGGCATTGAAAGCAGATGTTACTCCTAAGAAAAGGCCCTGTAATGAAGCTAAAGTTTTATATAACCATTTCCTAAAGGCGTAGAGAGCATTAAAGAAAGGTGATGAGCAGCAGCTTTGCAAAAGAATTGAAGAATTAAAGAAATAAGTACCAATCAATCTTTGGAACCTGAGCATCTGGAAAGGCAAAAAAAAACAACAACAACAACAACAAAAAAACCCCCCAAAACCTTAAAAAAAGATGGTTAAAAGAGGGTATAAAGGCCTTACAGGATCAAGAAAATTGTCAATCAAGAGATGGAACAGTTTTAGCAAGCCATAAAAAGGGACAAAGAAGAACACACCAGAATTAAGAAAGAAGACTTAGATGTGAAGCACATGCTGAACTATAATCAGAGGCAACTGAAAGATAACTAATACTGATGGACAAAACAGATTTGGCCCTCGTGTTCCAGCTCTTCTTGAAGCCATAGAGGATGCTTGTAGATGTGGACATTTAACCCACAGACCTACAGGCCCTCCAGGAGCTTGCATTCATCTTTGGGGCCCTGAGCTTGCTTCGGCTGTTGAATTTTGCTTGAAAGGACTTCTGCAAACCTATTGTTGCCAACAGTCATGCTGATGAACGAATACTTCAGGCACTGATGAAAAGGTTTTATCCACCAAGGACCTCACAGCCACAGATAATAGTTTCTGAGTTTTGGAATAAGATGTCTGATGTTAGACACAGAGCTGCTTATCAACCAGAGTTTCCAACAGTTCTGACAGCTTTAGAAATAGAAAATGCAGAGGTTGCAAAGAGCCTAACTGATATGCAAGGCATGGAGACAGTGCTACTAATCAAAAATAGTTGTGTAGCTCATGCAGTAATGAAGTTCCAAAGCCATCCAAGAAGCTTTTACTGCTGATGGTGATCAAGTTTTTGCAGGATGTTATTATTCATCTGAAAATACAAGACTTAAGTTTCTAAGCAGAGATGTGGATTTATTTCAAAGTGACTTGGAGAAGGAGATTGAAAATAAATCCAGATATTAAATCTTTAGCAACATTTGTCTGTCCTTGAAAAGGATATTAAATACAATGAAAATTTTCTTAGAAGGAGCCAACTACATTATAAGGAGTTAAAGATGAAAATAAAAAAAAAGTATTTCTAAAATATGGGAACTTGAGAATGTAGAAGAATATAAGTTTATAGATATTGCAACCTTGGAAGATGAGGCTCAGGAAAATAAGATAAAAATGAAAATGGTTGAGAAAAATATGGAACATCTTAAACATCTGAAAATAGAAGCAGAAAACAAGTATGATACATTTAAAATGAAAAATAATAAGCTAGCAGATCCACTTAAGGATGAATTAAACCTTGCTGATTTTGAACTGGATAACGAAAACAAGGGAAATGGCATTATAAAGAAGAACAAAAAGAACACTTGGATACTTTAAACAAAAAAAGAAATGAGAACTAGGTATGGAAGAAAAAGAACTAGAGGATAAAATGTCACAAGAAAGGAAGACAAATCTGCCCAGAGCAGACAGAAGAAAAAAGTTTAGCATCAATTCTAGATAAAGACATTAATAGATTAAGACAAATGATGAGACAGTACTAGGGAGTAAGAGAAACCTATCTTGACCTGGATAACTAAGGGCTTTTAAAAGGTTTATTAAATTACTGGAAGACATAACGACACATCAGCAATGTAGAAGGTGTTTGACTTTACAATACAGATTGTACTTGGACAAGTTACTGTCTTAGCAGGCCAATTGTGGAAAAATAAATTTTGATCACAAGAATGAAACCTTTATTATATCAGTTCAGTCTGGAGAGGGAAACAAAGCTGCTTTCATTGGCACGAGGGCCTTATCTGGAGGTGAATGTTCCTTTTCCATGGTTTGCTTCATTCTTCCTCTGTGGCCTATTGCTGAATTTTCTTTCAGATGCTGGCTGAGTTGGATGTCCACATGATATGCTTAACCAAAGAATTGCAATGGACATGCTACTCAAGATGGCAGATTCCCAATGTTTCAGACAGTTTATCTTGCTTACTCCACCAAAGCATAAGCTCACTTCCATCAAGAACTGATTAGAAGTCTTCAAATGTCTGATCCTGAAATAGGACAAATCACATTGCCTTTCTGACCTGTGACTTGAGAGGAAGAAGACTGGAGTTGATTTGTAACTTAAATGCCATGTCCTCAATGAAAGATTTGTAAAGGGAAAAAAATTCAGTACTATTTGATGAAATAAAATGAAACTGAAGATATTCTAAAATAAAAGGAACTCCTTTATATATCTGACCACAATAAAATATGTAAATAAGCCTAGAAAACCAACTACAATCAGCAATTTTAAATTACTGTTTCTTTACTTCGAGGAAATCAATTGCATAGTACCAATTTTAAACCTTTTTTTTAACTGTCTACTTTCATAGATTCTTTTTCAGAAGTAAAATTTTGTAAATATGTACATATATGTATCTGTTTAGTTTGGGTTTATTTCTATCATATTTTGTGGGAATTAAAAGTTTGAACACCTGAGAAAAAAAGAAAAAAGAAAAATAGCAGAAATAAAACCCAAAGAAAGTGGAAGAAAGGAGAACATAAAGATAAAAGGAGAAATTAATGCAATAAAAACATACATATGATGGAGAAAATCAAAGATACTTCTTTGAAAAAAGCTAATGAACATAATAAACTTCCTATGAGACTAATCAAGGGAAAAAGTAAAAATATCTCATATTACCACAGCCTGGACCACCTGTGAACTGAACTTCCAGGTGCTTCACATGTGCTTGCCTTTATTATAAATCCTTTAGATATTGAACGATCACAAAAGGATATCATAAAACAACTTTGTAACTTTAAAATTTTAGAGGAGAGGGACAGATTTCTAGCAAGGCCTAACTCTCTAAAATTGACACAAGAAGAGAGAGAAAACCAGATAATTCAAAAACCCTTAAGCAAATTGAATCTGTAATTTAAAATCTTCTCAATGAAAGGAAGAGTTTGCTTCTATTATTAGTATTTTCTCTTGATCATTGGTCACCTTTTTCTTCTTTACATGTCTAATAATCTTTTATTATATGACAGACTGTGTGTGTAAAAGAAGAAAGCTCCTGCTGATATCTCCCATAGTGAAGGGTCCCCCTTTCCTCAGTTAGGCAGATAGAGTGACAGACAGATCAGCTCAATCCAGTCAGTGATTGAACTGGGTTAGGGTTTTTGAGTTTGTAAGGTCTGTTTCCTTAGCCCTGTAGCTCCGTCCTTTAGAGGTTTGAGTTATCTTTTTAGCATCCAACCCCATTATCATGGGCTAAATTGTGTGTCCCCCCTCTATTGATATGTTGATGTCCTAACCCCCAGTATCTCAGAATGTGACTATAGCTGGAGATAGGGTTTTTAAAGAGAGGTAATTAAGTTAAAATGAGTTCATTAGTGTGAGCCCTATCCAACATGAAGGGTGTCCTTATAAGAGGAGATTAGGACACAAATGCACACAGAGGGAAGACCATGTGAAGACACAGGGAGAAGACCACCATCCAAGGAAAGAGACCTCAGAAAAAACCAACCCTGCTGACACCTTGATCTTGGACATCTATCCTCCAGAACTGTGAGAAAATAAACTTTTTTTCTAGTACCCAGTCTGTGGTACTTGGTTATGGCAGGCCTAGCAAACTTGTACACCCACGTACATACGCCTGAGGAGGAGACTAGCTGTGAATTTGTGAAAGGCTTCTTTCCCCTAGCAGGATTTTATCCTTTGAGTACCACAAGACAGTGGGTGATCACAATCTGCCTTTCTGGCCCAGCACTCAGCTTCAGACATCACGCTCAGGCAATATTTCACAGAAAACCAGCTTTGCATTTGGGCTCCTCGAGTTTCTAATAGGTCACACCAGCCCTGTATTATTATTAAAAGTTCTGCTGGCTTCTTTTTCTTCTAGTATGGTCTCTGCCTAAGTCAAGCCCACCAGGGAAGAAAACAAAGACAATTATTAGTTCACCTAGGAAGGATTCTTACTGTTCTGGAATTTCAGTTCACCTGAAATTTGATTTCTTCTGTATAGCACAGGGAACTTTATTCAATGTCTTATAATAACCTTTCATGAAAAAGAATATAGAAAAAAGATATATATGTGTATGTGTGTGTGTGTGTGTGTGTGTGTACACACTAGTACGTGGGACTAATTAGTTGTTAGACCAACAGTAATGACACTATTAGTAACCATATTTTA